TCGGCTCATATCTTCTTCAGTTTAACTTGGATTTTTTTTTGCACAGATGGAGTTCGTTGTGCTCTACAAAATGAGATCCATTTTCAATATTTTTTTAGGAAAAAAAATTTCTTGCCTCTCGGTACCAACTGCATACCATATGATATCTTCTTCATTTTGAATTCGTTTTGAAAACGTTTGCACAGAATGAACGAGTTCATCATGATCTATTGGATCTACAACTTTATGGGTGAACAAATTACAGGACCAAAAAATACCACACAATACCATCCTGGTATGGGGTGGTATCTTGTGGTACACAATGTTAAAAGTCATAAATGGCAGTTAATATACTTCTATTATCATATATTCAACCATCCTACAGTCTTGGTTTGTTCATACCACCATGGTATGCTTTTCAAACCATAGGTATGCTCTTATTTCAATGCCATTCAATACCATATGGTATAGACTGGTAAAAAATGGTTCAATTTTTTTTGTTCGAAAAATATATCAAAGTGGATATCATTTTGAAAAGCACAGTTAATCTGATCTAATTGTGAAAAAAAAATTAAATTTTGACTTAAACGAGTAAGAAATCGTTCGTCAAAGATTAATAAGAGAAAAATTAAAGGCTTTCCAAGAAAGGGAAGAATGCTGATGTCATGTTGATGTGGATAAATTACTCATGGTCACTCATCATAAAGTTACTGACCTGTTTCATTCCCGACCGAAGCAAATGCTCCAATTTTGGAAGCATTATCTGTAAGGAAGTGGTTAAGCACCATACACGGGCCTGTATAAGATCCAACATAACCTTCTCCCAACAACTCGAGTTATTGGGACCAACTGGTTTATGACATGGTATCAGAGCTGGTTGTCCTTGAGGTCACGTGTTCAAGTCCTCACGACCCCCAATATTAACCGTTGTCTTTCAAGCACATGGTATGGCGGGCCTGTGCAAACTTCAAGCCCATGAGTCGGCTTTCGTTTGAGGGGGCGTGTAAGGAAGTGGTTAAGCACCATACACGGGCCTGTATAAGATCCAACATAACCTTCTCCCAACAACTCGAGTTATTGGGACCAACTGGTTTATGACATTATCTTCCCCGCACCTTAATCTAATATCTAAGCACGATTAGTCTCTTACATCCTGCAAGCTCCTTGTGAATTGTTATGTTCTTTCGTTTGGTGCTCCATGTGACGTAATTGCTGCAAGCTTTCACTGACTTCTAATGTATCGTTTGCTTGTGGGATTTAGATGATGAATTTGGCACTTAAATCCCAATTGTATCAGGTATTTGGCACAAATTCATTATTTGTTAAGAGATATAAATATGTGAAGCCCACAGATTTGTAACATTTTTTTAGATTCAAATTCGTGGACCCCACGGATTTACAAATCCCACATTTAATTTGGAATTTGATAATAAAAGACAAAAATGTGAGACAAATCCGTCATAAATCCATGATAAAAATTAACTAAACAAACAATGTACTCTTCTAAATCCCTAATGCACTAAATCCATCATAAATCCAAAGATATTTTAAAATTCAAAACCCTCATTTTCAAATTCAACAAGCAAACGAGCCCTTAAATTAATGCGCATCACAATCCTAGCAATTCGTTTGTCCAGTTAAAGAGTATATTTGAAAGATTTTTGTTTTAACTCAAGTATAAATGTTTTCCAGCATCATTTGAGAATTCAATTCATTTGTAAAGTTTTGAACATAATATTCCAAGTATAGAAATTTATTTAAAATAAATTGTACACGGTAATTAAATGACCAATTGCATATGCTCGAGGTGCACTATTTAAACCCGAGATGGAGTTTTAACGTAAATGACCAATTGCATGCATATGTCTCAATTCAAAGTCCGGACCTTGACTAATCCCCCTCAGCCTTTGGATTGATCTAATGGTCCACATAAAGTGTTGAGTTATTATTAAATGAAAAGGGTAGTTTTGGCATTATCAGAAAGTCATTAATTCCTAATTTCAGTTTTGTTTTATTTTTTTTCCCTTCCTCTCCAACCGTTTCCTCTTTTCCCGTCCACAAAGAGAGAGATGGAGGAGAGATGTGCGATGTCAACGGCGATGGTGGTGGAAGAGAGAGAAACACCCAGAGGCGGGTCTGTCGGAGAACGGCAGCGGCGGCAACGATGGATGAGAGAGAGGCGGCGACATCGATTGAAAGATAGAGAGAGAGGCAACGACCGTCGTCGTCGAGAAACAGAGGAGAGAGAGAGAGACGATGGTGGAGGAGAGAGAGCGTCGACAACGGCGGAGGAGAGAGAGGTGGTGACGGCAGTAGAGAGAGTCGGCGGCAACATCGGTGGAGAGAGAGTCGACGGCGGCGACAACGGTGGAGAGAGAGGGAAGAACAGTGATTTGTAATGCAAGTGTTGTCGGTTTGTATTGTTAGTATTTTTGTACATAATGTCAGTGTGATTTATATGGTTTGTAAAAATGACAAACATGGTGCACAAAAATAACAAAGCTTACAAACATTGCAAAAGAAACCGACAAACATTACGTAATAAACCTTATAAACATTACAGAAGAAACCAACAAACATTACAAAGCATACTAACATTACAAAATAACACTACTTACAAATACAAATCGGTAAAATTGTATTACCAATCAATGAATACAAAGTATACAAATCATAACATAAACGTATACAAACTAGAGCAACAAATATTATAAATCAAAATATATACAAATTAGTCATATAAACATTACAAACACAACAGACTAAAATAACAAAGTAAAATGATAAACAATACAAACCGAATTGATATAAACAATACAAACTGAACTTATAAACATTACAATATAGGTTGACAATCATCACGAGTTCAGCACTGTTGCCGGAAAATCATCCACCACCATCTCTGATCACCGGAAAACTGCTCCCCCGTCGCCGAAAAAATTGTCAAGAAAACTCTCTCTCTCTCTCTCTCTCTAGTCACCGTTAAATGGATGGAACTCTCCCTGGCCGCCGTATTTATCCGCAGAAAAAGAGGCCCGCCGGAGTTCCCAGAAAAAGCCCGCCGGAGTTCGGATCGTCTGGTCGGGGAAGGAAACACGAGCATGTTAATTATTTAATAATTATTTAATAATTAAAAAATATAAAAACTCTGCAATTACCACATTACCCTTCATTAAATTGGATTAATGTGAACCATAAGATATAAATGAAGCTCAAAAGCTGAGATTGGCTTAGTCATGTGACTAAGGGGACCCCCTTAGTCACCTGATCTTAGCCCCTCAATTCATATGCTCGAGGTGCATTATTTTTTCCAAATATTTTTTTCAGTATAATTGTCAACAACCAGTTGATCCCAAAAAACATGTATATATGAGTTTGGAGTTTGCACAGGTCTGAACATCATGAACTTAACAAAACAGATAGCAGTCATTGGAATTCAAACATGAGCCCTTTCTGTTGCAAAATTTTTTGATATCATGCAAAGAAACCATTGAAAGAAGTTGAATCGTGGATCAAATTCATACCGTAACCCAACTTTACCAAATTAAATGCAATATAGATTATAGAAATAGTCCAAAACACATTGACCCAGTAGTAAAGATTAGATTCCCAACACGTTCACTGCAATACCAAAAAAGAAAAAGGGAAGGAGGGACTTTTTAAAGTAGTAGATGAATTCCAACCATGCATGCTCCCGCAGAATCATCCAATTATCTCAGCAGCAGCTCTCTTTATCTTGAAGGAAGGCTGGATCGAATCCCAGATTCCGCCCGGCACAGGCGCACTACTACCTACAGCTTCCATCGATCTCCTTCTTCTTCTTCTTCTATTCCCCACCGCTCTAACTGGTACGTACGTGTAATCTTTGCTTTGGTTTGGTCCCCCTCCCTCAGCACGTACGCACTTTAATTGCCTGCATCATCTGCATGCCATGCCCAGTATTTACTTACTTTATCCTTCCACCCACCATCACGCCACTATTTCAGTACGCTCGATCAACTTAGGTTTAAGGTTGGAGTCTATGTTGAAGTTAGTGCGTATGTATTTAGTAATCAACCATTGTGAAGGTTAATCACTAAATTGGCCCTTGTATTTAGGGTTGTTGATGATCGGCTTAGTATGCTGGAACAGCCGATTTGTACAGCAACAACAACAAGTCGGAAAACCTAATAATATAGAGGTTCTCTCTTCTTGGACTAGTCTTAGCAATTCCCGTTTGAGAAACCAAGTAAATCTATTGTACGTGTGTTTAGTTATTATTTCAGTTCGTGTATAGTTTGACCGATTCGGCTAATTGGGTTGTGTAGGAGTGTGATACATAATTCTCTTTACGTAAGAAAGTGGTATAGAATCTATATATCAGACTCTTTCAACAATTTGTGTCATTGGAATCAAATGGTTCATGCCACTCTATGTGCATGAATCAGTAAGCTGGCTTCATTTTTTTTTTCGACTAGAACGAAGTGGAAGGGTGTCCTTATTTTCCATCCTTTTTATTGATATATCTCATACAAACAAAGACACTTAAGTAAAAGATTTAGCGCATAAATACAACTTCGTTTTTCTCCGTTATAACAGTTTTTGAAGAATATACTAACATTGTTGTATCACGCCTCACACGACTCATAGCGATTAAATCCTAATCCTAACAAACATGTATCTTGGGTATGCTTTCCTCTCTTGGGGAATCTACTTGACAATCATAATAACCCCTCCTTGGTCTCTTTAGCAATGGGATTGATTTGAGAAAAAGTGCGAAACAAACTAAAAGCAAAAGTAACGTATGATTCAAATAAAGCTAGCCGGATGGATGAAACGGTCAGTTTCTGTTGCTACTCTACTCTCACTCACTCACTCTCCTCTAACTCATCTACACATGCATGCTTTATGCAACCATTTTTGCCTTTTGCTTTCCATAAAGCTCAATAAAGATATGCATGAAAACCAAAATATACTGTTGCAGTATGTGACTGATTGTGAGAAGAAAAAGAAAGACCACCACCTTAGTCCTTAGATGCTGCCGTTCATGGCGCATTTCACCACCTTTCTCCCCATCCCCACTTTTCCCTCCTCCTCCCCATCCCCATTTCTTCCGCTCCTCTGTTTCTCCCCTGCCTTCTAAATTGGCCTCCCCTTAATTCCTTTCCCACCACCAAAACCCAAGCCCTCTTCTTCTCAATTCCAAACCCCCAAATGGCTGTGGTTTTCGCCGCCTTCTTTTCATCCATCCTGCTTCTGCTTCTCCATTCTTCCGATTCGCTCTCTTCTCATCAACTTTACCTGAAAAGGCAAGCTTCAATCCTTGTTTCAGTCAAGCAATCCTTCGAATCCCACCACCCTTCTCTCGATTCCTGGGACCTTTCGGATTTCTCCAAACTCTGTTCTTCCTGGGCAGGAATCCAATGCGACGAATCCAATCGGTCGGTGATCGCCGTCGACGTCTCGAATCGCAACATCTCCGGTACCCTCTCCCCTGCAATCGCCCAGCTCCACGGCCTCACCAACCTCTCCCTCTCCGGAAACAGCTTCTCCGGCGACTTCCCGGGGGATGATGTTCTTCACAAGCTCCCCCGGCTTCAGCTCCTCAACATCTCCACCAACCTCTTCGCCGGAGAGATCAATTGGGATTTCGGCCGGATTAAATCCCTAGCCGTTCTTGACATCTACGACAACAGTTTCAACGGCTCTCTCCCAATTGGAATCACACTGCTTCCGAACCTGATGCACTTGGATTTTGGCGGGAATTACTTCACCGGAGAAATCCCCCGGAGCTACGGAAAAATGGAGCAGCTCGTTTACCTGTCCCTCAAGGGCAACGATCTCCGCGGCCGGATTCCGGGCGAGATTGGCAACTTGACCAGTCTCCAGCAGCTCTATTTGGGTTACTACAACCAGTTCAGCGGCGGAATCCCGCCGGAAATCGGTAAATTGGCAAACTTGATCCATTTGGACATCGCCAATTGTAAATTGGAAGGTCCGATTCCTCCGGAATTGGGGAATCTCAGCAAGCTAGACACTCTGTTCTTGCAAACCAACGAGCTCGCCGGCTCGATTCCTCCCCAGCTGGGAAACCTCAGCAGCCTCAAGACTTTGGATCTCTCCAACAACGTCCTGACCGGTGGAATTCCCGTTGAGCTCTCGGGCCTTCATCAACTCACTCTGGTGAATCTCTTCCTCAACAAGCTACACGGCGAAATCCCCCAATTCGTCGCCGAGCTTCCCAATCTCGAGGTCCTGAAGCTCTGGCACAACAACTTCACCGGTTCGATCCCGGAGAAGCTCGGAGAAAATGGGAGGTTGATCGAACTCGATCTCTCGAGCAACAAGCTCACCGGAAGCATCCCGCAGTCGCTCTGCTTGGGGAGGAAGCTGAAGATTCTGATCCTCCGCATCAATTTCCTGTTCGGATCGTTGCCCGACGATCTCGGCAACTGCGAGACGCTGTCGAGGGTTCGCTTGGGCCAGAATTACCTGACCGGGAGAATTCCCGGCGGGTTGCTCTACTTGCCGGAGCTTTCCCTCATGGAGCTGCAGAGCAATTACCTGACCGGGCCGGTTCCAGAACAAACCAGCAGCAAACCGGTCAAGAAACTGGAGCAGCTGAATCTTTCTGGGAACCGGTTATCCGGGCCTCTCCCGGGTTCGATTGGGAACCTCTCCAGCCTGCAGATTCTGCTTCTGAATGGTAACCAACTCACCGGACCAATCCCTTCCGAAATCGGTCAGTTGAAGAATGTGCTTACGTTAGACATGAGCAGGAACAATTTCTCGGGCACCATCCCTCCAACCATAGGGAACTGCCTCATGTTAACCTACTTGGATTTGAGCCAGAACCAGCTTACCGGTCCGATCCCGGTCCAGATCGCTCAAATCCACATCCTGAACTACCTCAACGTGTCGTCGAACCGCCTGAACCAGACCCTCCCGAGGGAAATCGGGTCGATGAAGAGCCTAACATCAGCCGATTTCTCCCACAACAACTTCTCCGGTCCAATCCCGGAATCGGGCCAGTACTTGTTCTTCAACGCGACGTCGTTCGTCGGCAATCCTCAGCTATGCGGCGCCGTTTTGAATAACACCACAAACTGCAACTATTCATCAGTCGATTCCCCTCTACAATTCCGCAGCCAGAGCAAAACAGGCAAGTCCCAGGTTTCGGGGAAATTCAAGCTCCTCTTCGCTATCGGCCTGCTTTTCTGTTCCCTGATGTTTGTTACCTTGGCAATCATCAAGACGCGGAAATGGCGGAAGAGTTCGAGCCGCCGGTGGAAGCTGACGAGCTTCCAGCGGCTCGAATTCGGGTGCCAGGACGTTCTGGAGTGCGTCAAAGACAACAATGTAATAGGCAGGGGAGGAGCCGGCACTGTGTACAGAGGAACAATGCCCGACGGCGAACAAGTCGCGGTTAAAAAGCTGCTGGGAATCGGGAAAGGCGGTAATTCTTCCTCTCATCACGACAATGGTCTGTCGGCGGAGATACAGACTCTGGGGAAGATCAGGCACAGGAACATTGTGAGGCTGATTGCGTTCTGTTCGAATAAAGAGACGAATTTGCTGGTCTATGAGTACATGCCCAATGGGAGCTTGGGTGAGGCTCTGCACGGGAAGAGAGGAGGGTTTTTGAAGTGGGAAACGAGGCTGCAAATCGCCATTGAAGCTGCCAAGGGACTGTGTTACTTGCACCATGATTGTTCGCCATTGATCCTACACAGAGATGTGAAGTCGAATAACATATTGCTTAACTCTGAGTTCGAGGCTCATGTTGCGGATTTCGGGCTGGCCAAGTTCTTGCAGGATTCAGGGACGTCGGAGTGTATGTCGGCGATCGCCGGCTCCTACGGCTACATTGCGCCGGGTAAGTCAGAAGTTCAATTAATTTAGAGCTAAATTAAACCACCATGGATGGCCCTGGCTGAGTCGTTCTGGTCGGCGACAAGAGTATTTGATTGCGCCGCTAAAGAAAGGCAACAATGCAACATTATTGTTTTGGCACAGATATGCCTTTGACCTTTGAACAAAGACTAATGATTGGGTTTCCCATATATACCAAATTTAATCATTCAATTTTTCATGAGTGGTGCCCTCGTTTGTTTACTTACGATACAAGGCATGTTTTATATGCAAATTTACGCCAACATTTATAAAACTATATATTATTTTTACAACTAGAAAAACATAATATTTTGTATCCATGTAGAGATAGGGATGACAGTTTTGATCTAATCCGTTTTACTTGATTTGTTAGACATGTTTTGAGCGGTTGTTTTACAACTAGCAAAACATTATATTTTATATATATATGGAGACGCCAATTTTGACCTGAACCGTTTTACCATATATATATATATGTTTGACCTCTTTAGACATGGGTAATTTACGCCCCGTATGCAGGGCGAGGTCGTCATGGGTACATACTCTCGACTTGATCCATCCATTCTTGACCCATTTTCCCTCCTAAACTATTAGCAATTTTACTCAAACTATTTATGATTTTGCTTTTATTATCTCACATTTTAGTTATAATAGAGTTGTAAACATAAGAGAACCGTGTATAGTTCGTGTCCTGATTTTTTAATGAAACAATCTACCATTTTAATATTTTTTCTTTAAATTACATATCCATATGAATTGACCTGCCTCGACCAACCCTGTGATAAATTATCTGATCTGGACATAACTTATCACAAGACGAGTATGAGTATAGAGATATACACCTCAACCTATCCTATTGTCATCCCTATATGCATATGAAATCTGATTACTCCCTTTTAAACAATGATTGTGTCTCTTGCTATGCATTTGATTCTCTTGAAAAAACAATGATAGCATCTCTCTTGCTATGTCTATATCTACAATAGCAAACCATACTTGATCTATATCTATGAGTGGAAACTTTGATGTTTTTGGGTAGGCATATTATCTATAGGTGGGTATTTCTGGATTTAGTGTTCTTTTCCTTTTCCTTTTGCCTTTACCTTTTCCTTGTTGGGTTGGTGGGGGTTTGGGGAATAGGACAAGCATAGTTTTCCTAGAACCAAAGTGGAGTTGTATAGTAACAAGAGCCAAAGTGGCCAAGGGATCCACTCCACTAACACAAAGGAAAATTCTCCCTTTCTTTAGGGCTTTACAGCCCTCTGTCTTTCTGTATCTCTCTGCCTTTGATCTCCACTTTATCCCATGGTGAAATGTCTGTCTATACTGCATGCCTTGGGACCATGTACCTCATATGAATCTTAGAAGCCAATCAAGACCAACCCTTTTGACCCAAACCCAGAAACCCAAATACAGAGCATTGGTAAAATCCCAAGCAGAAAAGGAAAAAAAGGTAACCAACCTCTTGGATTGGAGAACCTGATTGGGATCTATCATATCATGTATGATGTATCCAAACCTTGCTTTCCCAAAACCCTAGATAAAGCACAAATGATTCCTTCTTTTCCTTTTAAATGCTCCTTTTACTTTACCTCTTAGTCTTAGGGAGATGGGTTGATTGAATATGTAACCCTTACTTAAGATATCCTTCCACCCTGCTAAACAATTGTGCAAAGGGTTTACAATCTCATATAAGAAAGCAAGATTTCTGTGACTTATGGGTCTTTATGTTGTTTTGTCTGCTTGGTTGCAGAGTATGCGTACACCCTGAAGGTGGACGAGAAGAGCGATGTGTACAGCTTTGGAGTGGTGCTGCTGGAGTTGATAACAGGGAGAAGGCCGGTGGGCGATTTTGAGGAAGAAGGGCTAGACATTGTGCAGTGGACGAGGATCCAAACCAACTCCACCAAAGAGAAAGTGGTGAAGATCTTGGATCAGAGGCTGTCCGAGATCCCTTTGGTCGAAGCCATGCAGGTGTTCTTTGTGGCAATGTTGTGTGTCCAGGAACACAGCGTGGAGAGGCCAACCATGAGAGAAGTGGTTCAAATGCTTGCCCAAGCCCAAAAACCCAATACTTTCCTGATGCAGTAGGAGTGTAGGACTGTTTTCTTTGTCTTGGGAGGGAGGGAGTTAATCAAGAGGGCTAAGTAAGTGGTCGCATACGATCCATCCATGGAAGTAACAGTAGCAGCAGAGCAAGTGTGTATATATAGATATATTCGGTTTTGATTAAGTTATTTTTGGGTGTGTTTTGTGATATTATCATTGGTGTAGCAATGGTTGAAAGGGAAGCTTTTATGTGAGTTTTAGAGTGTATGTCATTTCTTAAACAGGGGAATTCATAATTTTTGAAGGGACATGTAATGTAATGGAATTCTGACGGAGATGAAAGTAGTATATGGAAGATGTGATTTCAAAAGCATTCTTCTTTCTTCTTTCTTCTTTATCATCTTCCAAAGTTCCATTGTTCAGTAAATTGCGTCGATCAAATCCGTTTTCCCTTGGCGAAGAAAGCTGAGATTGGTCAACAAATGCTGGATTAATTCCCTAAATACAGTAAAAATTAAAACTAATTCCCACAATACATAACTTTTATAAAAAATTCCCAAACTACCAAAGTTTGACATGGATCGAGTTTAACAAACTCGAACTAGTAGGGGTTTGATTGAAAGCAAATCGATCCACGTGCATCGAGGATGTACCACTCGATCTACACGAACTGGATCGATGAGATGGCCAGCGCTCTACCATAGATCGATGACGGAAGAAGCGATCTAGGTCGTTCGATTGCTCAACAATCGAAGTGGTGAAGACACGGATCGAGTGGAATAAAATCGATGAGGGTAGATCGAGTTTGAGACAATCCATCCACCTGACGCGGATCGATGACGTAAGGCGCGCACTACCATTGATCGAGGACAGCAAACTCGATCCACGCCGTTCGATTCCAAAGCACGCGAAGCGGGGTTGACGCGGATCGAGTGCGTTAAACTCGATGCAGTTGATCGAATCACCAGTGGTCGATTTATTTGAAGCGGATCGATGACGTCAATGGCGAACAACCGTTGATCGAGGTCCCCAAACTCGATCTGCTCCGTTCGATGGAGACATCCGCGATCTTCTTTTGACGCGGATCGAGTACCTGCTAATCGATGCCCTAGTTCGAGTTTTGTAAACTCGATCCACTCTCCCACTGCAGCTATAAATACCCCCTTCCCTTCCACCAAATCCCACACCACTCCATTCTTCTTCCTCAATTCCTCCCACCACTCTTGAAGAAAAAAATATGCTCTGTGGTTGCGGCTAAGCCCGATCTTCCGCATCAGATTTTTTTTCTTTAGTTTGGTACTTCTATCACTCAAAATTGTCGAGATGGATCCGAGTATTTACGATCCTAGATTATACATTCAAGGCGGACCGCGAGAAACCGATTTGTTGGATGAGCAACCTTACCATCGGTCTGAAAGTGTTTGGGCGGCAGACCCGGTAAGCACTTCCTCATTTACTTTTCTTTTTTTTAAATGTGATAGTATTCTTCTAATTTTTTTTGTATAATAATTAATATTTTTTTTTCTACAGGAACAACTTGACGTAATCACCCATCGGTCGCTATCTCGCTTGCCTAAATGGGATGATCGTATCGAGCCCTTCATTGAAAGAGCGCGATTGCTGAGGGTGCGAAAGTTTGTGGGGATGGAGATGGACAACAACCTTCTTACGGCAATGGTGGAAAGATGGAGAAAAGAAACGCACACATTCCACCTTCTAGAGGGAGAGATGACGATTACGTTGAAGGACGTAGCCATGCTGACAGAGCTTCCAATCGATGGTGATGCAATAATTGAAAGTTCACAGAAACCATTGAATGGTTGGGGCCAATTTATAAGCGAGCGTTTAGGTATCAACATCCCCGAGGAAGCAGAAGAAGGTCGTCGTGTACCACCTCTACACAAGTCTATGTTATTGATACCTTGGCTAGTGAGGACCGTTGGCGAATTACCGGAGGATGCCACAGATGCTCAGATAGAGAGGTATGCTCGCATCTACCTTATTTGTTTGGTTGGAGGATTTTTGTTTCCGAACAAGTCTGGTGGAAATATGCATTGTATGTGGCTTCGAGTTCTTTTGGGATATTGGGACGAGATTGGGAGAAAAAGTTGGGGATCTGCTTGTTTGGCCATGATATATTCGGAGTTGTGCAAGTGTCCTTGATCTATCCATTTCATTTGCAATTCGGTTAACTCTAGGTCGACCTCTAGTACGCTTCATGTGCTCGGGAGGGCACACTACAGGTCCATCATACTGGGGCCAATATGCTTCATGAGCCAAGGGAAAGAACGACCCTTCCCAAACTCTGACCACGTATGGAGTCTTGTAGTATGGACTAACAAATATCAAAGGATCCAAATTAACGCTTCTCGCAGCTGCATATGCATGAGAGCAAGGCAGGTGTCTCCCCTGAAACTTCCCACAAGTACATTCTCCAATTCCATTCTTTGCATCCAGTATAACTGTTTGAGCATTACCACCCTTTGAACTATCTGGTCCACTTCCTGTTACTACTGAAAAGCGGGAATCTCTTCGACTAAATAAAGTCACCTTATGCCATTTTGCCCTTTCTGACCATGGTTTCATATCATCCGTAATCTTCTCTGGGATGTAGATTCCAGCATTCAACATCTGATATGCTGCTTGGTAGTGTTCAACGAACCATGTCACCGTACGAAAGAAGGTATGCAAGACTATAGATGAGATAGGCATTGCACGAAGACCAACATACAAACCATTGAGGCACTCACCCATGTTCGTTGTTGTTATTCCATACCTATACCCTTCGTCTTGATGTAACGTCCACCTCTCATAAGGAGGAGTTTCTAGCCAATCTGCACCTTCAGAGTGGACCTCCCTTATGCTCTTCATTTTGTCTACAAACTTTCGAGTCTGAAAAGCAATAGCTACAATAAAGCAAAAATAAGGTTAGTAAAGGAGTATACGCATTCAACCAATTGATATAATCACAACATCTTATTTGTTCTTACCAGCGTGCCAAACTGCACGTTGTCCATAAGTTCTACCAAAGTGCTTCCCGTAATTGCTTTTGAAATGTCGTATGCACCAGCGCCACTTCCACCCTAGCTCCTCGGCTAGTCGTAGAAAGCATGTCTAATTCCAAGGTGTCGATCAGAAAGTATGGCAATGTCCTTCCGTTGAGTGACACGAGTGTATAGTTGGGAAAAAAAACCATGCCCAACTTAAGTTGTTCTCCGATTCGACTATAGCAAAAGCAAGGGGGAAAAGTTGCCTACTGCCATCAACACTAGTGGCAACGAGTAGAGTGCCCTTGTATTTGCCGGTCAGAAAGGTGCCATCAACTTGGATTATTGGCAGACAATGGGTGAAACCATCAATGCATGGTTTGAATGCCCAAAATAGTCTCTTAAACACGCGTTTAGTACCTCCATAGAAATCTTCGTAACTAGGCACAAAAACAGACCCAGGATTCTTGTCCTCCATTGCAAGAATCAAACGAGGCATGTTAGCAAATGACTCTTCCCAATCACCATACACCTCTGCCATAGCTTTTTGCTTCCCATGCCATGCTTTCTTGTAACTGATGGTATAGCCATGTCGATTCTTCACTTCAGCGATGACACTCTTCACGGTGATCCCAGGTTGTGCCTCAATCAGATGTTTGATTATTTGTGCAACCTTCCTTGCACTCAATTGTCGATGATCTAGAGAAATCAGTGACGACCTACAAGTGTGGTTGTTGTCTGTTTTACGAATGAGCCAAGCCCCATTTCTTTTAACATATGCCGCCCGAACATGCCACATGCATCCGTCGCCATGGTTCTCGCAACGAACATGAATTTATTTAGTGTCAGAAGTGATGACACGATATTGAAAGCTTCTTCTCATAGCAGTTTCTTTCAATGCATCGACCACCTGTGGCTTTCCTGCAAATGTTTGGCCAACCACGAATCCAGAGTCAGGAGTCCAGATTGGTATAGGAGGGAGGTCAGGATCGTCGTTGTGAGCATAGAGAGGATGTTGTGGCACCATCGTGTAGTGAGGTGTGGGGGGCTCAAATTCCCCCTCGTCAATTTCCAGATCTTCACCATCTGAACTACTCATTGATTCTAACTCTTCATCTTCCACGTCGCTTGCCTCGCTAGTGTACGGAGGACTTGGTTTATCCACATATGGATCATTGTTGATGCCAGATGCTGGTGTAGATGCTTGTCTGGGTGACTGTCTGAGTGCCCTTATGTAATTCCATTCTTCACCCCATACTGGCCACTCCTGTCCGTCATGTTCCACCAATGGACCAGTTGCAGTTCGATCCTCGTATGTTGGCCATGGTGCATCATGCCGCACTCTGTAATCTCCTGAACCGGAAAAACCTCCCGATCCTTCACCTTGTTCGGTATAACCGCCCCCACCATATTGGCCAACAACTTCTGTCTCGACATACACCTCAGCAGTTGAAAATCTGTTCTCTGCAATAAATCTCACCATCATATTAACATCATCATCGTCAGACAAAACGGATCCTTCATATACAAGTGCATAATCCTTGTAAACCGGCATACGGTAAGTCATCTTGCATACTCTTCTCCCTCCTATGCAACATCGTTCCGCACAAATATGATTGAGTTCTTGCCAAGTAAATATGCTCTTAATCGGGACAGTACTTGATTCACCATCTTCGTAGTCAATACTATCATGAAAATGTGTAATTCGACCATTCCACCGAATCAATAAGTCGAATTTTCGAAAATTTCTACCCATTTCTGCAGTTTATAGAAGCAGCTCATTACATACAGTACAAACAATTCTAAATTAATCCAAAATTCTAATATGCTCATTCAAACAACGTAAGCAGAACTTACCTCCAAATATTTTCTTCTTTGCTCAGCTATGGTGCTCCAGCTGCTGCAGTTTGTGTTTGGAAGAAAGAAGATAGAAAGTAAAAGAGCTGCCAGAATGTGCTAAGTGATGACTTTTTATCATCGTAAACTGATGCAGTGGTTCGAGTCCAACAAGCTCGATCTACCCTAGTTCGAGTCCAACAAACTCGATCTACCGCAACCAATAATTTTACCCCCTGCACCCTATTCTGGAGCATGTCGGACCGAAAGCGACGGGACAGAATGATTGAGCAGTGGTTCGAGTTTAGTATACTCGAACCACATTAGTTCGAGTCCCTAAAAATCGATCTACCCCAACAAAGAATCTTATCCCTGCAACCCTATCCTGACACTTCGATTGACTAGTGGTTCGAGGACATATGGATCGATCTAAGGGGTTCGAGTTTCAGGTCGTCGTTCTTGTGCAGATTTTGATCGAGGATCATAAAATCGATTCATCGGATCGAGTTTGTTGGCAACGATCTAGCTAAATCGAGTTTTGCAAACTCGAACTCTATTGATCGAGGTTACCCGACTCGAACTAGTATGATCGAGGTTACAAGAATCGTTCTATGCTGATCGAGTTGTCGAAACTCGATCTACCCTTGATCGAGGTTTATGACCGCGATGTGGTTTTAGTTCGAGTTTTTAATCATCGAACTCTGTTGTTGTTCGAGTTTATGGAACTCGAACCCCTTGAAACTTGGGTATTTTGGGAAAATTTTATAAAAGTTATGTATTATGGGAATTATGCTTAATTTTGGCTGTATTCTGCAGTTTTGCTCGAAAGGAAAGCTCTTTTTGGCTTTTTGTCCAAAACGGCAGCTTACTTAGAGTTTTGGGCTTGAGCTGTGTCCGAACCGAAGCAGGCTTCTGATTTGAAATGACTGGGCCCAACTTACATCAAAAGCCCACTTTTAGTTAACACCACCCCATCGTTTCCGTTCCCAAAACGTCGATTCCCAAACCCTAAATCAGTTCCTCCGCTCGTCTCCACCGCCAAATCCCATCTTCTCTCCGCCCCTGCGGCCCATGAATTAGGTGACAGTTACAATGGAAGGAATTGGGTGGAAGACAGCGCAGATCCGATTGGTGAGCTCGCACCCAGAGGTATACGAACCCTGCGACGATTCCTTCGCCCTCGTCGACGCCCTCCTCGCCGATCGAACCAACTTGCTGCTCCACCGCCCGGCCATCTGCCTCGAGGTCGGCTGCGGCAGCGGCTACGTCATCACTTCCCTAGCCCTAATGCTCCGCCGCCAGATCCCCTCCTCCGCCGCCTACTTCCTCGCGACCGACATCAACCCTCACGCCCTCAGCGTCACCGGGGAGACTCTGGCGGCGCACGGGGTCGAGGCGGAGCTGCTCCTCGCCGACATCGCGTCGGGACTCGAAGACCGTCTGGCCGGGAAGGTGGATCTGATGGTCGTGAACCCGCCCTACGTGCCGACACCCGAGGACGAAGTCGGGGCGCCAGGAATCGCGGCGGCTTGGGCCGGCGGAGAGAACGGGCGGAGGGTGATCGATCGGATACTGCCGGCGGCGGATAGGCTGCTGTCGAGCAGGGGATGGTTGTATATGGTGACCCTGACGGCGAATGACCCTTCGCAGATTTGCCGATTGATGGGGAGGAAAGGGTACGCTTCGAGGATCGTGGTTCAGAGATCGACGGAGGAGGAGAACCTTCAGATCATCAAATTCTGGCGGGACGCCGATGAGGAATCCGCCGCCTCCTCGCCGACTACGATTGCCGGGAGAGTGATCGAGTCCTTGGCTTCACATTTGCCTCGATTGTCGTCGTTCCGGGGGACTCATTAGAGAATGGTTGATTGATTGATTAAAGAGTTTGAGAGTTTGAGCGTTTGAGTGATGAGAGATTTGATATTTGCAATCTGTTTCTTTGAGATTTTTCCAAAGTACACTACTCTTAAAAAAGAATCTAAAAAATACAATAATTTATAAAATTTGACAATTTATACATGTTTTGCATTTATTGTTCTAGATAAAAGGGATTTGTCCTTTTATTGCAAGTGAGAAAAGCGATAAACCTTTGCAGGACACTTGATCGCGATTAAGTGATCAATATCGTTAGAGGACAAAGAGATCAACAAGTTAATCGCCCAAGTTTATAGTGATTTATTTTTCATTACTATGGTCTTAAGGGATCAGATCAACGTTTCATCGCTTTTGACACAAATGATCAACTTAAATCGCTTACCGAAGCGATTAAAGTGCCCCCACGATCCTTTTCAACTCGACATGTCTCCGGGATAGGGTAAGGGGCCAACAACTTTGTTTACAACGACTTAGCATAGATTGCTTATTTCTAAAGTGATCAATGTACAATATGCTCCCATTTAATGATTGTCTCTTATCATCCATTTCTATCCACTCTCATTTCCTCTTAGAGCTTTCAAAGTGTCCTATCCATCTCACAACCCTCATCTCCATTTCCTCAACCACGCTTCAGAAGGTAAGGACAAAGTTGTTTAGTATAGTTATGTTTTAGTGGTTAATATGCTTGTGTCTAGGTAGTTGTGTTTAAGAACGAAGTTGTATAAATTATGCTAATTATTTGGAGAAAAGTAAATCGTAGGATATATTGGTGTTTAAGTAGTCTATAGGTTGTATGGGTGGGCATCGGTCGATTCGGTCCAAGACCGGACCAAACTATCCTCGCACTGGACCAAAATTTCTTCTAAATCAAGGACCAAAGTCGAATCGTTATTACTTCGATTCGGTCTGGATCAAACCATATATGGCTCGATTCGGTCTGGACCATCCCATTGGACTAACTAATCTTTCATTCGAATAAAATCACTCTTAAAGGACAACACAATAATTAAAAAATGTAACTACACAAAAAAGGTAATCAAATTATCCAAATTTAAATACTCCACGATTCTTAAAAAACCACATGTTCCAAAATATTATGCAAAGAGCTAAACATGAACTATTGTTTAAGTTACAAGACAAAAGTCTTTTTATTCAATCTCAAAGGTAGTCTAACTAATTGCCACTCTAATATTCCATTTTCATTTCCAGTGCACGTTGGACCGCTTGTCCATTTGAAAGCCTTTCTTCAGCAATATAAGCACATGATACAAGGCATTAAAAAGGAGTTTAACAAAGTGACACTTACTCCAAGAACTAGTGCAAGTAAGCAACTCTCTTGATCGAAGCAATGCCGATGAGAACCCTGATTTGAGGGTGAGACTATAGGAGAGGGAGCGGCGAGTCTATGTCAGGGAAAGTTAATCATATTTATAGGTAGTTAAGTGTCGTGTAGGGTACTACGGTTTTCACTTTTCAACTCCAAGTCGACTTGCCTTCTCGGAGCATAATATAATAGGAAATTCATTTAATTACGATTCGGTCCGATCCTTAGCTTGATTTTACGGTTTCGGTCTGGACCGAACCAAAACCAAAAATTAACAAAATTTAGGAACCAAAGTCGAATCGAAAGATAAACAGTTTGATCTGTCAGTGTGAGAGTCGATTCGGTCCGATGTAAACCGAATCGTTGCCCACCCCTAATAGGTTGTATTACTCTTGTTGAATATCGATTATAAGTTAAATTGTATGTATACTTAATTATTGTAAATTGCATATATGGGTAGAAAATTCTGAAAGTTTCAGCTACTTATTCGGGAATGTTCAGATGACGAACTCCTACATCGGGATAGATTATGAAGGTGGTGTATCCACTAGGGTGAAGATTGAGAGCAAATTCATGTGGCAAGAACTCTATGATATTTGTGTTGAACGGATTTGCATGAGGGCAGATGCGAGTCTGTAAATTACTTACCATATCGAAACACCGGTGGTGGCGGTGTGATGTACGAAGAAGTTATCACGTCTGGCAATTATGGGGTTAACATGATGTTGAAAACAAGCTCAAACTTGCTGAAGTGTACGTTGACACTAAGGAGGTCCGTGCAAGTGTAGGGAGTTATGGCTATCATAGTGGTGCAACATCCTTTCACCACTATGGCAGTATTGTAGGAACCAGGCATAATTTTGTGTGTGTTGGGGGGGGGATGTTCTTATAATGATGGTGTTTTTTTAACAATAGGACACATGCTTTTCATTACTTGTGGAAAAAGTCAAGGATTACAAAAGCGGAGCAACAACATCGAGAATATGAATCCATTCGTCAGGCATTTGTTCCCGAGCGCAAGCTTTTGCCACCCAGTTTGCTTTAGAGTTGAGCTTCCGACTGAAGTGCTCGATCCGAATCCATGGAAAAGCATAAAAAATTTGTCTGATCGATCCGAGCCAAGCTGCTGCTCGCCACGGCCAAGAACCAGTCGAACTATGGATATATTAGCAGTTCTAGTCTCCTCTGTTGCATCGGAGTCCGCTTTCATTTGTGGAGGTCGAGTTCTTAGTCCTTTCAGGTCTTCTTTAAGCCCAAACATTGTGGAGGCATTGATATGTGCTGAAGATTGGATAAGATATGAAAGTGGAAAGACTGCAGATGAACTGAATGATAAGGAAGAAGATCAAGAGACAATCGATTATGAAAGTGGTAAGAATTCAATTTATTATTCTAATTTGTCTATACTCTTTACTATTTAAATTTTAAACCATTCCATTAGTAACATACTAACATTTGTGTATTTTATTTGTACTAGTTACTAGTACTTTCCAATCTCAAGTGGAAACTGCAATTGACATCCCGAGTGGAGCACATAGCTTACTTGTTGGGGTTGATGAGGAGGAGGAAGGGGAGGATAGTGATGATGATGAAACCACCGAGTCCGACGAAGACATGAACCAAGATGCCGATGATGATCTCGATGATCCTCTTCTCATGAATTTGAAGAAGAAAGGTTGTGCAAATGTTGGTGGTGCTACAAGTTCTACCGGAGAAGGAGGAGCATGAGTTATTGGTTATTAACTTATTTGGTTGTCTATTTAAATTTTTAAGTTTGGACTTTGAACCTGTGTTGAATTTAGACATTATCATTGGGCACTTTAGTCGATTGACGAATGACGATTATGTGTTTATGTTGATTGTTGACTTGTTGTCCCTTTGAATTTGACGATGTTTGTCGAATTGTCGTTTGATGAATTTGAAATTTTGAATATTTGATGAATGATGATGTTTGATGAGAGTTGATGTTGATTCATGAATCATTATTGTTGATCATTTGAACTTATGTTAAATTAAATAGATTAATAGATAGCTACTTTGAGTTTGTCAAATATTAAGTTAACTAGTTAAGACATTAACATATAACATATAACATATACTTCATTATTCACAAATATAAAATATTACATACATAAATGTAAGTTAGTATAGGCCTCAAAAATATTATAAATAAGAGTTAATAATAAATTATTAATTACAAAAATGAAGAAAAAAACTCAGAAAAATCAAAATATTACAACATCACCCAACTGACAGAAATTCGGTTCGGTAAATGTTTGATAAACCGAACCGAAAAACCTCCCGACGTCGCTTCTCACGGTATTTCGGTAATACCGGTTTGTAACCGCTTACCGGTAATTCGGTAATCGGTAAACCGGTTACAAACCGGTATCGATAATCGATTCCAATTTGGCCAACGTCGGTATACCGAAACCGGTAAATTCGGTAAACAATTTACCGTTTACCTACCGAATCCCACCCCTAAGACAAAGACATAGTTAACGATAAAACTTTCAAATACAAGCTAATAGATAGTAGCCGAAACCCAGACAGGTGGCGGCCAAACTAGAGAAGGATTTTCATATAAGTTGATGCAGCAGAGCGACTCAATAGTGCCGTCACTGAGATGGTATATGCCCATATCATGACCACCACGCCTACGTCTTACATGCTTGGAGAAATAGTCGTCGGTGAAATAGATGCAATCCGGTTTATATCCCGGGTGATCTTGGGTAGAGAGGCAAGCAGGGGTATTAGTACCCAAGAACATAGCATAATCACCAATGCTTTCAATCTCATCCCATTGGTTTGTATCTTCATTGAGCTTGTAAACGGTAAACTTTCTGGTCTCATAACTCGGACGGTATTCCCTCTCAGCATCTGTGTCACTATCCCAACAGTACTCAAAATTTTGATCATCAACCTCATGCCTGTCATCATCAACTTGTTCAATATGGGCAGGAATCACTCTATAATCCTGACCTACTGCATCCTCTTCATGGCCAGCATCATGTTCTTCATTTAGGCCACCAAAAGCATCCTCACGTTCAGCTGAACTTCTGGCTACGAGCATCAACTCATCAGCCGGACCTATAACTAGGTAGCTGGTTTCAAAGAGAAAAGGAAGACCTTTGGAAGCAAAATAGGACACGTTGGGAATAGCAAGATCACAAATGAGAATTCTATTGTCGCCGTCAATAGCATAAAATTTATTCCTCCAGAACACTATGTTCTTATAATATAACGGGACATCGTTAGGATGCGGAAGCAATGTCCAGTTGTCACCTCCAGGCTTGCAAAATGCTAAGCGCGGTTGGTCTAGGACCCAGCAGATAACCATCAAAACACAGCCCTCCGCGTTGGGCTCAGCTGACATTGCGATCCGGTCAAAGAAGTTATACTCCACGTACTTCTTGCCCATCACGAATATTTGGTCGTCGAACTCGGAAGCCAGAACCAGGTATTCACCACGGACTCTTTCCGGGCAGTGAGCCAAAATATCTGGGAAAGTAGTAAGGGGTGGGAGTGAAATTTGATCCCCAGTGAGAGGGTTGAATAGCACAGGGACACTCTGCACCATAAACAGCCATCCAAATGCTGAGCCCCGACAAGTAGCTTGCTTCAGGCCTTCCTCGAAATCCAAGTGGTGATATTGGTTGCGTTCCACATCCATAAACAGGCGGCACGCGCTGCCGTTGCCTTCATTATTGCAATACGGCAACATCAGCAAGGCTGATGATTGATGGAACAGTAGAGGTTGCTGCTCACCGAGGATTTCCCACCATGTCTTACAAACCACTCGAAAACGGATTGTATCCTTTACTTTGATTATCCGTCGGCTGATGAGGGTCAATAACTCCGGCGGCAGCTCACTCCAACTACGCTCTTCTTCTGCTTTGGCATCTTTTCCCTTGCTCATCTTGTTTCAAGAGATGCCATGCGGGTCGCTAAAGAGATCGGAACTTGGTGAATTGGGAAGGGATTTATAGCTGACAGTCCCGGAATCCAAATTTAAAACACAATAGGACAAGAGAACCGACTCCGATACTGATTAGGATGGATTAACTCCATCAAACACACAAAACAAAAGTGAGCGAGAATCAAACAGGGTTGAATAAGATTCTGAACTCAATTTACCACTAGCTTATGCGGGCCAGGTTTCTCTCACGAATCTGCTCTCTCTTTCCCTCTCTCTGCCTCTTACTCCGTTGAAATAGGGAGGGACGGCGCCGATGCCACGGAGAAGATAGTGCATAAAGAGAAACACAACCTTTCAACTACTCCTCCCAGCCGTACAAGCCATTCTCGGTCTTAATCGAAAGGTCCTGAGTCCGCCACGTCATTGATCTGCATCATCTCCAACCAGCCAATAGAATGTCAACCTTCAAATTAATCTAAAGGGGTCTTTTGGATTTATTAGTTGATTGGCTGATATTTTCGGAGTGAAATAAATTCATTTTATGAAAATATAGTATTTATGTGTTATTTATATTTTGCGTCTGGTATTTGGCTTAATATCTCTTTTCTGATGATGGTGTGTTTGATGGGTTATGAATTGAGGTGTGGTATATAGGGGTGTACATGGGTTGGATAGTTCGGGTTTAGTCATTTTAATCACCCGATTCATGCACTACGGTTTGAGAAATATCAAATCCAAACCCACCCAAAAATATTTAAACCCTACGGTTTGTTTTTAATTGGGTTGGGTCGGGTTGGCGATATTTTTAAGTAAAAACCCAACCCAACATAAAATATATAATTATTCTACATCATAAAAATATTTTATAACTAATTAAAATTTCAAACGAATGAACCAAGGTGAAAGGTATGAAAATTCACAAATGTTGTTTAAATTTTAATAAAATGTAATTTACTTTAACATATGTCTTGTTTTTTCACGATATTTGTTGAAATAGGCTAAAAATGTTATAAACAAACACATCTATCATATGTTATTCTATTAAAATTGTACACAAGAAAAAGGATTACGTGAATCATAACTATATTCAATTTATGTCTAAACTTTAAGTCGAAGAATGCATTAGATTAGGGAGACCATGAGAGAAAAACATGGTGAAATATCTTAATTTTCTCATAAGTATATGAATATATAGTACATAAATATTTTTTGGATTGGAACTCATACTAATAGTTGGAACACGGGTTGGGTCGGGTTTTACGGGTTGTGTAATCCAAAATCCAAACCCAACCCAAAAGAGGCGGGTTGTACAAAAGAAAACCCTCACCCAACCCAAAACCTTCGTTTTAGCGAGAAATACAGGTGGGTTGGGTCGGGTGGGTCGGTTTCCGGGTGTGTTTGTTCACCCCTAGTGGTATATGTGAACAAACAACTCATTTTTGAGAAATGTGGTATTTAATAGTTATTTGAGATTGAAATATGGTATTTTAATTTCAATTGTCTTGTTTGTTTGAAAGGATTATTTGTATATGATATTTCATTACAAAAACACAAAATTACTTAATCACCCTTGTTCTTCTTCTTTGTCGACTAATCACTTCCCTTCTCTTCTTCTTCTCCACTACCCAAACAAGTCCATATTCAATGCACTTCGGAAATACCAATGTCACAGAAGCAATCAAAGGAAAAATAGCTAATACCTGCATCTCATTCATTCTTAACAGTTAAATCACATGGGCTTGATTTACAGAGTCTTTCAATAAAGCCCCAACAATTGCTATAGAAGATATCCCAACCCAAATAAAAGTTCAAGCAATCTGATTCTCTGCAATTCTACTCTGTATGCTCGTTTTTTCATTTGAGAAAATCCCAGGGTAAAATGCCCATTATTGTCCCTCATTGTGGCCTCCGATACCAATTCATCGCATCTCTATTGCCGTAGTTGTTTGGGTAGCAGCCAAACTGGCTCTCTACCTTGGGCCGGAATTGCAGCGAGAAACAGAGGCACCCGATATGTGTTCGTTCTCACCTTTTCTGTGCTTGTCTCCCCATCTGGATGATATTTAATCTTAGAAACCCATTTTTAAGTGATGGCCTTCTTGCCCGGAGGTAAGGAAACCAAGGACCAAGTTCCATTCGCTTCCAGGGCACACATCTCACGCTTCATAGCTTCACGCCACTCAATATAGCGAATGGCATGGTGAAAATGCGTCAGCTCTGGAACTCGGGAGACGACGGCAAGGAATGCCCGATGACCCGAAGAAAAAGCATCATACATAACATGTTTCACCATAGGATGAGGAATAATTGACGGCGGAAGATCAGTATCATATACCTGACAAATATTCAATCAAACAAGCTAAAACGTAAATAACACTCGAGATTTTTAACGGGGTATCGTCAGTGACGATCCTAGTCCACGGAGAGGATCTCCCTCTCAGGTTTTAGTATTATATTTACGTTAACCTTCAACGTAGCATACAACTGAGTATATATAGGTTTGCTAACACAAACCCTAACTAATTAATTACATATTGGTACTTATATTAAATATAATCAACACCCTCCTCCAAATTGATGTTGGGTACGTAACATCAATTTGGAAGATAGGTACCAATGTCGACTAGAGGAAACGACTTTTGTCAACAAATCAATAGTCTGTTCCTCTGTCTTCAAATAACTGAGCTGAATTACTCCTTCGGCAACTAATTGCCTGATACAATGAACATGTACCTCAATATGCTTTGTCCTATCATGTAGTACTGGATATTTGCTATCTGAATAGCACTAGTGTTGTCTCCAAAATTAGGAATATCTGAATAGCACTGGTCTTGGACGGGGTTCCATTACTAGGGAAGAATAACCCCACTTCTGCAGTATGCTTTAGATAGCGAAGTAATCTATGAACTGCATCAAGATGAGTGGTTTGAGCAACTCCCATAAACTGACTAACAACTTGTACTGCATAAGCAATATCTGGATGAGTGTGAGTTAGATAAATCAAGCTGCCCACAACATTGCGATAGAAAGTTTGATCCTCTAACAGCTCACCATCATCCCTCTTCAGCTTCAAGTTATGTTCCATGGGTGTGTTGCTCGGTCGACTCTCGTCATAATCAGTAGTAGCCAATAAGTCCTGAATATACTTCTTCTGACTAACAAATAATCCGGCCTTAGTTCGAGTCACCTCCAATAACAGAAAATAAGATACGTCTCCTAGTTCCTTCAGGTTAAACGCGGAACGTATCGAAGCAGTCAACTCATGAATTCCTTCACCATCGCTACCCGTTACTATCATGTAATCAACATAGAGAAGTAAGACAATCATACCATGGATAGTATGCCAAATGAACATAGACGGATCATTTTGACTTTGTAGAAAACCAGCCTGAAGAATAGTCCCATGAAATTTCTCAAACCAGGCTCGCGGAGCTTGTTTCAATCCATATAGCGAGCGCCGAAGCTTGCAAACTACATCTGCTCCTCCTTTTGAATATCGTTCTGGGCATTCCATATAAATAGTTTCCTTCAAGCCCCCATGCAGAAAGGCATTCTTCACATCAAACCTAATAATGGGCCACTGTTTCATAACTGCAACAGCAAACAAACTCCGAACAGTTTGCATTTTAGCAACCGGAGCAAAAGTCTCATCAAAATCTATCCCATATTGCTGTTTGAAACCTTGAGCTACAACTCTAGCTTTAAAACATTCAATAGATCCATCCGGGTGCATCTTAATATTATAAACCCAATGACTACCAATAATAGAAATGCCCGGAGGACATGGGACAACATCCCATGTGTGTTGAGCTTCCAGTGCATCAATCTTAGTATCCATAACTGCATTCCATCGAGGATCATCCTTAGCATAACGATAATGAGTAGGGATTGAGATATCATGCTCTATAGAGTATCCCACATAGTCCTGCAGACGCGGTGGTGGCTGGCCAAGATTGGCTCGATTAGAACGACGCGGGACAGGCAAAAGAGGCGGTGTAAGTCCCATTTCTTGAGTACCATCAAACATACCCGAGGAAGAAGCCAAGGTACCACTCGACGAAGAAGAAGTAGAGCCTTGTGTGCCCTGCGTTGATCCACTCGAAGAAGACCCAATGGAACGAGTTGTTGGACTCGAAGAAGAACCCGAAGATGAAGTGGAGGCCGAGTGACCAGATGGAGTTCCAGGAGGCGTTACAATGTGATGATCATTCCCTTGATTCCCGCCTTGTGGAGGATTACCAGGTGCTGCGCCAACAGTAGGAGAATCAAAGACAGGAAGCGGCACCAAGAAATCGAGTGAGGAGAGGGAAGTAGCTGCCAATTCCTTGTAATACACGTCCTACTCCAAAAAAGTTACGTGACACGAAATGCGCATTCTTCTTTCACCCGGATCATAACAGAGGTACTATTTATGTTGATTACTATAACCCACAAAAACACACTGAGCAACCTTGGGAGCCAGTTTATGTCGTGCCTTTTTGGAAAGTATGACAAAGCAAACACAACCAAAAACACGGAGACATGAATAATCAGGCAGCTTAGAGTACAGACAATGATAAGGTGATCGGTCACCCAGAGCTGACGTGATCTAGCGATTGATTACATAAACAACAGTACTCATTACTTCCACCTAAACACCTCTCGGGACGTGCGATTGAAACAAGATAGTCTGTGTCAACTCGAGAACATGACGATGCTTTCGTTCCACTAGACCGTTCTGCTGAGAGACTCCGAGACAAGATTGTTGAGGCAGGATACCCCGAGATACATAGAATTTGAGTAAATGGGAGGCAATAAATTCCCCACCAGGATCAGATCTAATAACCTTCACTCGGCGTCCGAATTGAGTCTCTATTATCTGCACGAATGATTTTGCATGATCAACCAACTCCGACTTCTGACGCAAAAATATATCCAGGCATAGCGTGTCTTATGATCCACAAACAATGCAAAGTAGCAAAATCCCATCTGAGAAGTAACAGGTGAGGGCCCCAGAGATC